GAGCCTCCTACCTGACGGTGCAGAATTGATGGAGCATTTCATTGGTTCAGAGACAGAACTCGGTTCTCGTCGAAATGCATTCTTGATGCTGTTTAACGAGGCAGAGGAAATCGCCATTGAGTTCTTGAGAGCAAACGCAGAAAGTTTGGACAGCTTCGGGGATGGCTTCGCACTGCTTGTGTTAGAGTTGACACGGAAGGTCTGTAGGCGTGATCCTGCACAAAAGTCGCGATTCGTTCGGTTCTTATTTCAGCTTCTCGTTTCTCCTTCAGCCGCCGTGAGCTATGAAGCTGCCTGGACCTTAGCTAGCCTATCCTCAGCGCCCACTGCAATTCGCGCAGCTGCGTCAACTTATACATCACTTCTGTGTACTCAATCAGATAATAATGTGAAGCTAATCGTTCTCGAGCGACTTGCAGAATTGAAGGAAAGGCATATTCGTGTTCTCTCTGAGGTGCTCATGGACATGCTGCGTGCATTGGCGTCGCCCAACGTTGACATCTGCAAAAGGACACTCGAAATCGCCATGGATTTGATCTCACCGCGAAATATTGATGAAGTTATCCAAGTCTTGAAAAGAGAGGTTGTCCGTACGCGCGAGTGCGACCTGGAAAAGGGGTCTGAATACCGCGCGATGTTAATCAATTCCATTCATACGTGCGCTTTGAAATTCCCTGATGTTGCTGGGTCAGTTGTTCACGTGCTAATGGACTTTCTTGGATCAAATGGAGCTATGGATGTCATCATATTCGTCCGATCGATAATACAACAATATCCACCTCTTCGTGTTGGAATTTTAGAAAAGCTGGTAACTACCTTCAATGAAATCACAGCGTCGCCCGTATTTTCTACCGCACTGTGGATTCTTGGCGAGTATGTCGAGAGCACTGAATTATTGCAAAACAGCTTCGATGAAATCCTCAAGGGGATGGGAGAGTCATCTGCTAGCCTGAACGAAACCGACAATGGTTTTGAAAATTATTGTAATCCAAGCGTCGAAGCAATAGATAAACCTCTTAACAAAGCTATAATCCTCCCCGATGGCACATATGCAACCCAGATTGTCTCTTTGCAGCCCAATTCAGACCCTGATGAAATTGCAACACTTCCTACTCTGCAATGTCTGATAAAAGGAGGCGACATTTTTCTGGGGACTGTAGTTGCTGGTGCTCTCACAAAGATAGCATGCAAGACACTCAAGCTCCACGGCCCGTGTGCATCAATTTTCAAGCGCCGCCAATTTTCTGCCCTTTCGATCTGCTGCTCCGTGAGCAAACAAGCTGAAATACAAGCAGGTTCGGCTCGCTTGTATGAGGCCTCACTGATTGGGCAAGTTGCAGCAACCGACTCACTCGAACGTCTTGGTATTTTTGCCCAACTACTGCTCGATCCAGCAACATATGCTTTGCATGACAAGTTTCTAGAAGACAACAAATTATCCTTTACGCACTATCTGAAACACACAATACCTGATATCACAAAGAATGATCCTAATTTGACCACCGCAAAACTCCATTCTTGTGAACAACCTGATGATTTGATATCTTGGCGTCAACTACGGCCCAGTCTGGGGTCTAGTGGCGATTCTGAACTTTGCGATGAAGGTGACCTACAACGTGCAACCGGTGCCGGCATCTCAAGTGATGCTTTTGGATTGCGACTCAGCCACGTGTATCAACTATCTGGGTTTGCCGATCCAGTATATGCGGAGGCGTGTGTAACAGTGCATGATTATGACATCGTGTTGGACATTTTAATTGTTAATCGCACACCGTCCACCCTTACAAATCTCACCGTTGAACTGGCAACGATGGGTGACCTTAAGCTCATAGAGAGGCCTCAATCTCTCACTATGGGACCTTTAGACCAACGTTCAATAAGAGCCAATATCAAAGTTTCATCCACTGAAACTGGTCACATCTTTGGTACAATTGTGTATGAAAAATCAAGCACTGCTGAGAAAACGTACATAAATTTGAACAATATACACCTCGATATCATGGATTACATCCGGCCTGCTAGTTGTTCTGACCAAGCTTTCCGACACATGTGGGCTGAGTTCGAGTGGGAAAACAAGGTTGCGATTTCCACAAACATAGCATCCCTGAATGACTTTCTCGAGCACATAGTAACATCCACAAATATGTGTTGTCTAACCCCGAGTTCGTCGCTCGGTGGCACGTCTTCTTTTCTAGCCGCAAATTTGTACGCAAAGTCCATATTTGGAGAAGATGCTTTAGTGAATGTTTCTGTTGAAAAAAAAGACGACGCTGATGGTAAGCTGAGTGGATATATCCGAATTCGTTCAAAAACACAGGGCATTGCTTTGTCCTTGGGTGACCGTATAACTGCAGTTCAACGGAGTGTAACATAGCGCTGTGTAACGCGGGGAAAATATGGCAGGGATGTTCTTACCGCCACCGGTGCGATTGGCTGTGCGCGCTGGAAAAGACGCGACCTAGTTTGGGCCTCGCAACAGAACCCTGGACGCAAAACCCAGCGGGTCTAGCCAGCGGGAAATACGACGCCTTCTATTTTGGGGCCCGCCCGGGTGCGCCCCCCTGCCGCCCGGGCCTCGGCGTGGGCCCCGGCGCCTGAATAAACCTCCAGCCTCTACCCCAGCCGCCGGCCCATTATTGTCGGGGACGTAGTGGGTTCCCTGGCGAACGCGGGAAACTCGACGCATTCTAGTTTGGACTCCGCCCGCCCCCCGGGCGCCTGAGTAAAGCCCCCAGCTGCCGACCCAAAATTGTCGGGGGTGTTTCGGGTCCCTTGGGGTCCCCTCCAGCGCAGGGGGGGGGTTCGGGGCGGGGTTCTGCCGCCGGCGGCGGCCGCGGGGCCTCGGGGCCTACTAGAACAAACTAGAACGGTTCTAGTTCCAGTATACGG